TTTCGAGCGTTGTTGTCGGGCCAGAGACGCTATCGCATCTTCCTATGAAGCCGCAGCCATCACCACACAATGAACTTTGCCATACAATAGTCTGACTAATATTGTAAATATCGCAAAACAATAATTCTACACAAGATTGATTTTCATTTTCGCTTCATATTTATCACTATTATATAAAATAAAAACATTTATTCTAGTATTATAGATCTTATGTCCTACTATATACTTTCTCATATTATGTATCTTCTAAATATACTATATTACAATGGATTTTGTACTTCAATCATTACTTGTTACGGTTATATCAAAATAATCTCGAAAAGACAAATCTCGAAATTGTTATTCTGATCTTCAATCGTATGTAATGACCGAGAGTGTGATAGATATTCCTTTGAACTGCGTTGACTTTTTCTCCTTACTTTTAATAATAAAATTATATCATACTGATCCACCACACTGTGTATAAGAACATCTCAATTATTTTAAGATATGGTGGGTGACTAAAGTAAAACTTAGTCCTTGGAGGGTATGGATGTGGATGAACAGAAAACCAACGTCCTATCCACACCCAAAAGAAAGTATATGTACCAATAATAATTAAGAATACTGATACTAAATGAAATTGTGGTTCAATATCACTTGCAATGCATAATTGACCGAAAAATGCAGTAAAACCTCTCTATACGGACACCTCCTCATCGTGGATACCTTCCGGTCCGCCATAGCTGTTTTCGCTGAAAATGAACCTCTTGATTGTGGACACCTCCCTATTCTGGACTGTGAACACTTTTTTCTGGTCTCGTGTACAGTAAATAACCTCTCCAATGTGGACGCTTATTTAAGTTCATTATGCTTTTCATTCAGTCAATGCTGTACATGTATATGCGCATTGATTTAATTACTAGAATGATCTCAAACAGACTAGACGATGTAAGACTGAATTTAACAATAAATCATCTGTTCAAGATGATTTAAATGTGAATGGACCAATCACGTTGCTTAGTTCAGTTGTATTTCGTCTAGTCTATGTAGATCCTACGACGAGTACGTAGCAAGGATGAAGAATCGATAGATAAGAGTACTGGACGAAATATAGAAGAAATCAAGCAGATATAGAACAAATGAATGGGAGAAAAAAAACCAGCATAAACAAGTTAGAAATAGACGAAGAGAAAAATAAACGAGACAGATAAAAGGCAGCATAAAAGAAGAGATTGACCATTGTTTTAGTTATTAATCAGAGGTAAATTCAAAATTTTGTCAATAAATTGTATTGAAAAGGTAGTTTTGAATGAATTATCATACAAAATATCTTCAAAACGTCTTTAATTGCGAAATAATATCGAAAACGAGAGTTTTATTCGCTTGCATAACTACAGGAATGAGTACTAAAAAAAACACCAAAAACCTATTCAGAGTGGACACCTCCATATAGTGGACTCTTTGAAAGAGTTCTTTAGGTGTCCACTATGAAGAGGTTATACTGTAGTTTTAATTAAGATGAAAATAAAGAACAATATGGAGTGAAATGGTTCAGATCGATATAATTATGAAGAAGGTACAATTAAAAACAAAACAAATATTTATAGGAAAAAATGTCAATATAATATGTGTTCAATTTGATTATGCCGTGTAAGTTATTTTTGAGTACAGCAACGCCTATGCACATCGATAGACAAGATATTCACGATATGGAAATGTGTTTATTCAGACTGAATAGAAACATTGTGGTGTTGAAACTAATTTTTTGTCGATTTGATTTATGCTCGATTCTTTACCTAATACGACCTCACTGTAAAAGTTATGCGCGACTGATTGATTGAAGTTGCTGATGTAAAACTGTGGGGTTTTCGAGGATCAACAGAAAAATATACACTATGTCCTATACAATAACAATATATGAAATCCTCAAATGAAGAAATCCATTTTATTATATTTTGCATCTATGAAAATTTGAAAATTTTCAAAAGGACGGGGGCGTATAAGACCACAAATCGGCCCATTGGGCTTTTATCTTACAATCAAGTCTAATCGCTTAAGGAATGAAAGGGCAAATTGAGACGATTATTTTGATACCAAATCGTGAAGTGTTTCGAATCACTTTCGAACACTTTCAGCAAAAAATCAAAACACCTCAGTTTTCCTATGAACTATGAGTACACTGCTATTCTCTATGAAAGAGTTTCAGCTTTAAAAATCACATGAACATTTTTTCTGGTATTAGCCAATCGATAGCGCTTTTCAAAAGCTAAAAAATCATCTATGTCCGATCATCGAAAAAGTTTGGTCACTTGTGCTTTCCAATACCAAACTATTTTCGGTAGCTCATTTTCCTCTCAAAATTCATGCTTGTTATATCTTGTAAAAAGAAAAGGTCCGCATTTTTGGAATGATCATTTTTTCTGGTATCGACCAATCGATAGAACTTTTCAAGCGCTACAAAATCCACTAGTTTTTAGAGTCCAAAAAGTTTGGCCACTTGTGCTTTCCAATACCAAACTATTTTCGGTAACGGATTTTCCTCTGAAAATT